AGAAAGTTTGCCCGCCCTGTCTTGGGGGATTAGCTACCCAGCCAATTGTGTTATTGTCTACATTTGTGCTAAGCAGTTCCTCCACCTGTTCACAGACATCATGAATGGAAACGTGGAAGAGCAAGGGCCCCGCACCAACCTTGTGGGTCCCCACTGGATGTCTCTCTCGGATGCCTCTCTCCCATCTGATGAGGAATTGGCGACTCTGAGCCAGCTGTACACCCATTTAATTATCATGCCGTCGTCGTTCTGCCCTCAGCAAGCGTGCTAATCGGCATGTCATGGGGGACTCCTCTGATCCTTTGCAGAAGTCAGGGTACATTATTTTTGCAGCGCTTCCATCATCAATTCAGTAAATAATCGGACAGAAAGATTACTCAGGTAGCATTTGTTCTTGACAAATCAGTACTGAACTCTAGTAACTACTGAATAGTTTCCACAGTCCTTGGATCAACCTAATCTCAGCTTGTTACCTGTATAAAAGACAGAGAGCCAGAAATCTTGCTGATTGATAGGGGATCAAATACTTATTTCACTCATTAAAATGCAAATCAATTAATAACTTTTTTTGAAATGCATTTTTCTGGATTTTTTTGTTATTTTCTTTCTCACTGCTAAAATAAACCTACCATTAAAATTATAGACTGATTATTTCTTTGTCAGTGGGCAAACGTACAAAATCAGCAGGGGGATCAAATAATTTTTTCCCTCACTGTAGAATCCAATTCTCTGAGCATCCACACTTAGCATAGACTGTACTTTACGTGAGATAGCATGTGTCCAGTGCAGATTAGAATAGAATGCAGCTATTCTTTTATATGGAAACTATACCAATATTTGATGCAATCTAGATTTGATTTTGCCCATTGGTACATGCAACTATTTGCAGGCCTTGCCATTCCTTAAGATAATGTTTACCCTTTACCCTTTCAAAAAGGATTTCTCAGACCCTATCTGTAATTTTAGCATTTAAGAAGTGCTATCTCTGAACTGTAATATTAATTCAAACTGTACACAATATGCAAGGATGTATAGGAAGTTTTAAAAAACTTTCAACCATGCAACAGATATTTTCCCTGCCAAGTGGAAACATGCTTGATTGTCCATTTAAAAACAATCCCAAATATAAACAAACATAGCTCATCTTGAATTTAAATTACCTTTTCAAATTAAAAAAGGGGAAGGGATTTTTTGCAATTTGTTCATCCTGTTAAGCCTGATCAGTTTTATCCCTCCAGCAGAAAGTCAAAACTGAAAACAGTGTGCAATTTCACAGGAATGCATACAGTACAATAATTTAAGGATGCCTGGCTACCAACTTGTTCTTTGATGCTCTAGTAACAAGCCTTGGAAGAGTTTCCTTTAAAAGTACATATTTACTTAGAAAACTCTACACAACTTGGATCTAGAATATCTGAATAACCTTCTCATACAAGATTATCATTATTAGATTTTAATCCTACCTTTTTAAAATATGTTTTGGTCAATTCAAGGCTGTGACCATACCTAATATCCCTGCCTATTTTCTCCACAACAATCTAGTGGGGGGAGGGGTTGGGTTGAGAAAGTATGACAGGCCCAAAGTCACTCAGTTTTCATGCCTAAAGAAGGCCTAAATCTCCCCGTCTTCTGGTTTCTAGACCAGTATTTTAAATACTACACCAAAGTGGCTCTCAATTGTAAAAAATATGTTATATTCTTTATTGTTTGTATAAATGTAAATGTAATATCATAAACATGTGTATATAAAAGATTTGTAATAAAATATTTTATGATCTTTGTAAGACAACTACCTTCTTTTCCTACCCCAAAGAAAGTCAAGTCTGATAGGAACAGAGGACCAGGCTTTCCTTCCTTTACATCCCCCATAAATCTTCCAAATCTATTTAGAAAGTGAAAGGAAATTCCAAATTTACTTTCGCATCACTCACCATTTTCACAATAGTGGATACAATTGCTTTACTTGGAGACAGCAAAATGGGGGGAAAGTATAGGCAGTCCTCAACTTACAACCATTTGTTTAGTGACCGAAGTTACAACGGCACTGAAAAAAGTGACATTGTTTTTCACGCTTACAACTGTTCCAACATCCTCATGGTCATGTGACCAAAATTCAGCTGCTTGGCGCTGGCATTATGATACTATGCAGGATGGCATGTATTACAACCCACAGAATCACCAAGAGTCTGGCACGACTGAATGGATAACACCACCACCACCACTACCATGATGACAGTTGCAGTGTCCCGGGGTCATGCGATCATCTTTTGCAACCTCCTGACAAGTCAATGGGGAAGCCAAATTCACTTAACAACCATGTTACTAACTTAATAACTGCAGTAATTCACTTAATAATTATAGCGAGAAAGGTTGAAAAATGAGGCAAAATTCATACAGCAACTGTCTTTTTCGCAATATAAATTTTGGGCTCAATTGTTTTTGTAAGTCAAGGACTCCCTGTAGTTGCTTAGTTCCACTCAAACAGTAAAAATATGTCTTCTATTCTACATTTGCTAGATATTTTTTATTTGTATCCGCCTTTATTATTTTTACAAATAATTCAAGACAATGAACATATCCCCCCCACCAGAAGGCTTTATTTTCCCTACAACATCCCTATGAGGTGGGTCAGATTCTAAATCTTTTCAATTGTTTTTGTTTACTTGTATTCTTCATTTTAGTTTTAAATGTATACAATGTTTTAATATTTAATATTATGTAAACTGCCTTGAGAGTTTGTATTAAATTTAAAAAAAACAATCTCATAAATATATTAAAATTTATGTTAATACCAAAGAAAGCAATAAAAATCAGCATCAGACAGATGCTAGAGAGAGAACAGAATATCTAAAGTTGGCAAATGAGCAAGGGAAAAGAAAGATAGAGGGGCAGCCGGGAGAATTTCATGTCTTAAAAAGTGTTTTTATGTTATTATTTTGAGTAATTTCCTCATGCTTACAGAGGGGGAAAAATGTACATCCCTCACATATAAATGTGCTTTCTCCACAGGGCCTTGGAGAGAGAGAAAAGGAGGAATGTTTTGCCATCGAAAACAGTCAGGTTTTAAAACTACTCCCTAATAAGCCCATCATCTCAGCCAATCAGAGCCATTTACAACACCTCCCCCCCTATCTGCTGCACTAAGATTAACGAAGCAGCTCAAAGAGTGAATGAAAACAGATAAATGTTTTTATGCTTTACAACTGGCTGCAACAACACTTGCAAGTTTCTTAAAAATCTTATTTCCAGACCAGCAAATTTCCGCTCCTCTCTTCAAGCACAAAAGGCACCGGGAGGTGATGAAAAGGATCTATTCAAAGAGAACAGCCATCACTTTCTATACAAACTCCTTAAGGATCGAAGCACAGTCCAAATGACTGAGTCCAAAAGAAAAAAAGACCTAGATACCTACAGGCCCTCTGGCCCTGTTACATCAAAAAAATCTCAAAAAGTCTCAACAAGCACAATAGGTTTTCAGCACATTGTAATTGTTAATTATTAGATATCTGTTATCTGTCTCGCACCTATCCTGCCTCCATACAACTATCCCGTCTCCCCCTCCAGCCTCACTGCAACTTAAAACTACGCCAAGCATCTAATGTACCAAGCTGCCGCTTTTACGTTTCCTCCGACTGGATGCCGATGTACAAATTTGACTTCTCTTGTGGTTTGTAAACACTGAAACTCTGTACAAGAAAAGCCTTTCATCTGCACAAAAGACTTTTTAAATTAAGCATTTACCCTGCACTTCAGGCATTTGCTATATTTCATGGAAACTAGCCTTGTAATAAATGAAAGTATTAGGCACTGTGACTGAATATATCCCCCAAAAATCCTTTATCATACCAAACGTACAAACAATTAAGGAAATTAATATTACAACAAATTCCTTCAATGCAATCCCAAAAGGAAATTGAAACTAAGCTAAGAATCTTATGCTACATCAAAACAATCTTTTGACAAAAGGGATATTACTGTTTTTTTTAAAAAAAACTTCTTGAGATGCTGCTAAGCGCCCATCCCTCGGGCCCTGAAGCAGCAGCAGCAGCAGCAGCAGCAGCAGCAGCGGAAAGGAGCCGACGGGACTGGCCACTTTTAGCTTCTTTCCTCTGGAGGAGGAGGAGGAGGAGGAAGCGCGTCGGCTCTGCAAACGAGCGGAGAGGCGCGCGAGTTGGGAGGGGGAGAAGCCGAGGAAGCCCCGCAGTCTCCGCGCTTACTTTCTGCAACTCCGAGCCGCGGCATCGGCCCCAACTCCCGCGCACGGCCTGCCCTCCCGCTTAGCGTCCGATGGCGCCCCTCGCCGGGAGAGCCGCCTTCACACGACCCTGGCTGGGCTCTCGCGCACACGCGTCTTCCGAGAGAGAAGGGATAAAAAACCTTTGCCCCCTCCCGGCCCCGTCTCGCCAAAGGGACGGAAAGGCGCCTGACAGCAAGGCGCGACTAAGCCCGGGGGGGGGAAGACTCTGCCCCTCCGCACCTTCGGCCAAGCCGTCCGGAGCCCGAGAGTCGGACAGACTTTCCCAGCAGGGGCCGCTTCCCCGGGGCGAGGCCGGCCCTGCTCCCGGGGCCGAGCGGCTGGGGCGCCCTCGTTGGGGAGGGGGCGGGAGGGCCCCCCGCATCTGCGGCAGAAGCTGGGTCCGCCAAGCGGGGCTCCGGGGCCCCCAGAGCGGGGGGAGCCCGGGCAGAAGAGAGGTCCCGGGCTCGCTCCGCTCTCCGCGGGGGGACGATCGCGGGGCTCCCGTCTTGCCCGGAGGAGACCAGCCGGCCCTCCGCGGGGAAGGCAGGGGGAGCCCCGCCGCGGGACGAAGGCGACCGGGGGAGGCACGGCGATGGCAGCCGCGGGGAGGGCGCCCTCCTCAGTCGTCCCTCGCCCCTCCTCCGCCCTCGGACCGACCGCCGCCGCCGCGCCACCGCGGGCCCCGCTACCCCCGAAACGGCCCGGGGCGGGGGCGGAGAGCGGCCGCGGAGGGAGGCGGGGGGGCTCCCAACTGCGCCTTTACCTTTAGTTCCGCACTGTCCGCCATCTTGAATCGCGGGGCGCAAGCGCAGTGAACCCCGCCGGGAGATCGCCTTCCCCGCCCCGCGCCCGGCGTTTGAATCCGCGGCGCGCGCGCGGCAGCCATTTTGTCCGTCCCTCTAGGCGGGACGCCGCTGCCGGGCGGGGAGCTTCCTCCTCGGGGGCGCGGCGGGGTGGCTTGGGGGGGTTCACGGCCTGGCGGGGCGAGGCTCACCTGCCCTTTTCGGGGACGATGCTCTTTCGCGGCGCGGTGCTTGCCGCGGGGGCGTTCTCGTGAGAGGGCGGCAGGTTGGATCGCGTTCCGTGACGTCACGGCAGCCCAGCCAATGGCGGCAAAGGGATGCTGCGAGCAATCTGAACCTGGGCAGCCTCGGTTGGGCTCAGGGCATCGTCTGAATGACTGCAGGGATACCCGGACGACCCTCCCAGCCAGCCCTGCCCGAGGGTGACAAGCGCCAGGCCTCCCCTCCTAGCGGGAGAAAGAGTCGGCAGGAAGCGGGAGCGAGAAAAAGGTCGAGCTGGGCTGGGAAAGCTTCGGGGTGGGGGATCGTCTCCCCGACGGCCCTGTTGCCAAGAGGAAAAGGAGCAGAGGCGTCCAGTTTTGGTCACCACGATGTAAAAAAGACGTTGAGACTCTAGAAAGAGTGCAGAGAAGAGCAACAAAGACGATTAGGGGACTGGAGGCTAAAGCATATAAGGAACGGCTGCTGGAATTGGGAATGTCTAGTTTAACGAAGAGAAGGACGAGGGGGGACATGATAGCAGTCTTCCAGTATCTCAGGGGCTGCCCCAAAGAAGAGGGAGTCAAGCTATTCTCCAAGGCGCCTGAAGGCAGGACGAGAAGCGACGGATGGAAACTCATCAAGGAGAGAAGCAACCTAGAACTAAGGAGAAACTTCCTGACAGAACAATTAACCAGTGGAACAACCTGCCTCCAGAAATTATGAATGCTCCAACACCGGAAGTTTTTAAGAAGAGACTGGACAGCCACTTGTCTGAAATGGTATAGGGTTTCCTACCTGAGCAGGGGGGTTGACTAGATGACCTCCAAGGTCCCTTCCAACTTTATTATTATTATTACCTGTATGTCTCTGGAGAGGGTTATTAGAGAACATATAGTATTGGTAGCCATCACTAAGCGCCATAAGGCTATTGGCACCACCACCACCTTGCTTGAAGGAAGTTTGTAAATAAAAGTGTCAGATACGTTTTCAAAAGAATTGTTTAGTCTACATCAGGTGTGTCCAGCCTTTTGGCTTGCCTGGAATAATTGAGTGAAGAGGAATTGTCTTGGTCTTGGGCTGCATATAAAATATATAATGTAGGTAATGTATATACAGTAAATATTGTGAAAGGCAGACTGTAAATATTTGTGATATTGGTATTAAAAAATAATTCTACTTTTAAATTTTGTTTTTAAAATGTCTGTCATTCTTATCAGAAATGATCCTAACCCTATTTGCAGTTATTAGCCACTCTAATTATTAATTTATATACTTCATAATCTCAGGATCTGGTTCTTTAAAAGCATAAGACCACACATTACCTACTTACCAGGACTGGAACCCATTGAATTAGCTGAGGTGTTTAAGAAAATGTGTTTACCACTTTTTGCAATATGTAGGATTGTATTGTAGTCTTGCAATTTTCAGTTCAAAATAGCTGTCCTGTGACTGGCACAGTCCTAGGGGATAGATCAGCAGTTGCTTTCACCTTTTAATAAGTGTTGTAACCAGTTAGACTTTAGGAAATAATAGTGATGAGTAAATATGTTTTCTTACAGTTTTTTTCTTTGTTAATTAAAGCTTGGAATATGAATGTCATTTGTATAGTAAATACTAATTACTGCGATGCATTTAATTGTCACAGGTATTATATGTGTTAAATCTTCTTGTGTGGCTTTTCATCTTGACAGCTTAAGCTAGGAGATGACAAGTGAGAAAAGGAACAATTTAACTGAAACCTCCCCTCCCAAGGACTAGAAATGTGAGCTAGCAAGAAGGTTCATTTGCCTAAAAACAAAAGAAAAGCATTGAGATTTAGTAGCAAAAAAAAAATGCAAGGCAGCTTAAGAAATGAATTAAGGTTAGCAATCTGAATTGTAAAGAACAAGCTAGTCACTTTTTAATTGCAATCCATGCAAGCAAAACATCTCCAAAGCTTTATTAACAAATTCAAAAACTAGTCACTGACCATAAACCTCTTTGTTTTATTAGGTTACAATACACTAATCAATCAACATATGCTAACATATGTTTAGCAAAGTTATTAATATAATATGAACCTCTATCCCTTAAGAAATGGGGAAAATATTAATTTACACATTTTCTTCGACCACTGCAGGTGGTATGTTGTTGCATGAACCATAATGCATGTGTGTGAATGTCTGTGAAGAGGCCATAGTGGCAGGTTGTCCACAAGGGAGGGGGTCAAAAAAGTTAAGATAGCAGATGCAGCCATATGTGCAAAGCCCTGCACCTTTTTATGCACATCCTGCTGTTTGAATGTGACCAAGAAGGAAGCCAGCTGGACCAGGGAGAGTGGAAATTCAAGCCAGCAAGAGGCAATGGTCATAGAGACCTATTATGTTTCTCCTCTGTATGTTCCATTTGATTAGCCATTGTGGAAAACAGGATGCTGAGGTCAGAAGACTGTGGCAGTGCTCTTGTAACACAACTGCATACATCCTGAAGTTGGGCTTGATTGACTGTTCACTGCATGCAAACCTTCAAACATCAGAATAATTAAGAATAATCATTTGGCAATTAACTTTCTGTCACTCTCGATAAGTCGTATGTTTCCCACCCACTCAGTCTGGATGGAGGTATGTCTTGCCATTCTGGAAGGAGAATTTCACAATTGTTGTGTCAGGAAATGATTACAAACATGAACTTATTAAACCCAAATATTCTTGGTTCAGGTTTCCTTTGAAATGCCAACAGAACAGCAAAACCTCACAAGATCAGAAAACTGCTGAAGGGGGATTGGTGAAAGCAATTAATTGAACCATATAATTAAGGCTTCCTTTCAGTGTGGCTAAGTTTTCTTTTTCCATAACATAAAAACTAGTCAGAATCAAGTGTGAATTCATAACTAGTTCCTGTTGTTTATTTTGTGAGAGAACGGATGGGGTGTGGAGCAGATGAGTGCAAACGTAATGACAGACTTCTATCGGCTGAGATGGTGAGCAGTGATCAATGGCAACTGTGGTTCAGGGAGGGAATCCAAACAAAGTTCAAAATTAGTAGCATCCACAATTGCAAAATATAATTTTCAGGTAATTACTGCCATATAATTAGTGCTGCCTTTTTCTATTTCAGTTTTTACTGCACTGGAGTTTCATACCACATTATGCCTTGCAGAAACATGAGAATGTGTATATTTGACCATTCTCAAGGTTTGGAGAGGTTATAAATCATGTCTCTGGGTCATTATATGCTGCATGTGTGTTCTGTGACCAAGAGGAGAATGTCTGGCTTATACCCTAGGTGGGCAATGAAACATCTGCAAGAAAACAGCCAAGATCAGAAAGCACCAAGGACTTCACAACTCAACCCTGAGCTATAAATACTCTCTTTTTATTAGTACTCCAGGTGACACAATCTTGTAGCCAGATGTGGGGCTACTGATGTACATTCATTGGATATGATTGTTCAAACAGCTGTCAGCCTTCCCAGATAAACCAGTCAGGAAACACGACCAGAAAAGTTAATTCTACTCATTTATTATAAAACTAGATTAACAGATTCTTGCAAGTCTGATAGTACAAATCTCCCAGATTCCTTAACACTGCGGAATTTAGGGAGATTCCTTTCTGTGTCTCCTTCTCTGTCCTTATGCAGCTGTGAGCTCTGCCCTCTCTTATCCGATTGTTCCCCAGGCGGCATCTCTCTCTCTCTCTCTCCCTCCCACAGACATCCATCTAGTGGCCTCACGAGGGCAGCTCACAGATCTGGTTCAGAGCATAACATGCTAGCACAGCCTTCTCGAACTTAGCATCCTCCAGAATTCCTTTTTTCCCCATATAATTTTATTAGAATTTTTTAAAAATAAAAACTAATGCAACATATATACAGAAAAGAAAATGAAAGCAAAGAGAAAGCAAAAAAAAAAAGCAACAAAAAAGTTAAACCCGAAAGAAAAGATACACAGCAATGACCTTTGATATTCTTCACAGCAGTTATCAATGCAATTTTAACCTCTCTCTCAAGTTACAACACAATACTCTTCTTTCTATAATCTATCCTAGCTAAACATCAAAATCATAAATAAAAAATTGGGTTTCTTTTTTCAATTTCTACACAAGTTTCCTAAGAGGTTTCTCGTCACCGATAAATGTAGATAGTGACCACCATCCTCACAATCTGGGGAAGTTTGTGCTACTAAACAGAGATAATTAACTCTTAAAAGGAAGAGATTCATTCTAGCTCAGCTCTTTTCTTGTTGACATGCAGAAATGTCCGTGTTTTTCTTAGCAACAATCTGGGCATAGTTTACCATTGACTTCACAGACCTTCCAACCTTTTCTACCATCACCCATTCGGTACTGACTAGATCCAATCCCTCATAAGTGTTTTTTGAGATCATTGAAGGACTGAAATTACATTACATATGCTTAAAAGAGCTCCTTTGAAGATATCTGGAAGTGATTTAATTTAATCCATCAAGCTTATGAAATTGCCCTCCCACTTTCAAAATAGTTATTTTTACTGTGACAAAAACAAAGAAGTTTGCATTCATGGAGACTAAATCATTCATCTCAATTAAGTCCAACTTTTGTTTTGAAAAACTTATCCCACCATTTACCTCGTCTGTTACTTAAACTTCCTTCTTCCTGAAATCAGTAAAGGAATCTATCACACATTTAGAGGCTTACCTGCACGCCAAACTTGAAAAATTCCACCTCTCTATCCAGGATTTTAGCACTTTTATCTGCCTAAATTAAAACACTTGGGATACATGGCTAGAGTTGTAATTGCCTTTCTGCACTACAAAAGACCTGCTCTAGGTTTCCAAAATACAAGAACAGCAGGACCATCTGAAAGGGAATAAGAGTCAAGATGGTGCAACTGTGTGACTGAAGCCCTCAGGGGTGGGGTCTTGTTTAATTGATTTTAGTGCACCTGTAGACAAAGGGTTTTGTGTGGTCAGAATCCTCTTTTAACTTTTTTGTCCCTCCCTGTGCGCATCCCCCAAAAAGCGTTCCAGTGAAGAACTTCTTAACTTTAAAGGATGCTGTGAGTTATTGATAATATGACTGGCTAAGAGGTTGGTGGGCTTCATCAGTGAAAAAATCATCTAATTTATACCTAACGCTGGCTGGACCACAATTCTTATTCTCTGCTGGGAATAGATAATTTGCTAATAAGGTGTCACGATCAAGGCCAGGAACTTCCCTGTGGGTAGCAGCCCTTGACTTACGATCACATTTGAGTCCAGAATTTCTGTTGCTAAGCAAGACATTTGTTAAGTGAATTTTGTCCCATTTTACAACTTTTCTCGTCACATTTGTTAAGGGAAGCACTGCAATTGTTAAGTTAGTAACACAGCTGTTAAGTGAATCTGGTCTCCCCGTTGACTTTGCAAAAGGGGATCATATGACTCTGGGACGCTGTGACCGTCATAAATATGAGCCAATTACCAAGTGTCCGAATTTGGATCACGTGACCACAGGGATGCTGCAATGGTTGTGTGAAAAATGGTCATAAGCCCCTTTTTTCAGTGCCATTATAACGTTGAATGGTCACTAAATGAACGGTTGCAAATTGAGGACTACCTGTACAGGGCCAGACGGCCTCTTTCCACATGGCAGCTGCTCTTTGACCCCCCTTTGCAGCCTCTTTGTTTTCCGTCTCTTGCAGGTCTGCTACTCCTAATCTCATGTTTGTAATACCTAATGTAATACCTTTTGCACCACCGACTGAACCTCTCTCTTGTTCAGCTGTATCTGCAACGTCCATGTTAGTGAGCCAAAAGCCAGGAATTCATAGAGCTAGAGGCTGAAAGTCAAAATTTTCAGTGTTTTTTCTCATTTCAAAATTCACTAGACTTAATATTATTTACTTGCACCATGAATCTGAGGAGTAAACAATCAAACTAGCTATCAGTGCCCTGATTGAGAACTGAATGCAGAGATCATACTACATTTGAGATAAGCAGTTCTTCATCTTTGCATAGATTTCCACCCAATGTAGAATGGAATATGCAAAATGAGGAGACAGGTTGAACAACGGAAGTCACACGGTGTCTCCTGGACCCTCGTCTCCATTCAACGTTCTAACAAGCTCTACATAGGCCAGCATCTTCCCAGTCACAGAGGACTTAAACCATGGGAAAATACAAACCCTGGTGCCGAAGGAATGTCAGTTCAGTGGACGGCGTAGACTCATTTGGGTTCCGAGTATTCTTTCTGCGACCACATCCCCTTGTTCTAGCCCACGGCTGAACTCGCAATAAAAAGATTGATTTGGGAGGAGGCCCCAGTTTGGTAGAATCTGCTTCCAAATGAATCCAGACAGAATCGGGCTCCTCTGAACACCAGAGCCCTTTGTTCTGTGGGCGCCACCCAAGCCCTGCCGACTTGCCCGACGGGCTCCGTCTCCCCAAATAAAGGCAGCCGCCGCATCAGAGGCCCTCCACCTTTCTCGAGGGCAGATTCCTGAGGTGCAAGGTGTAGAAGGCCCAGGGCTCAGGAACGTAGATGATCCCGGGATATTTCTTCCGGAGGGTCTGGTCGTTCCAGAGCCAGCCAATCCAGAGAGCCACCAGCCCCAGCGTGATGACAAAGGAGTAGAAGAGGAAGCGGCCGTTGCTGTCCATGACGAGGCCCTTCCGCCTCTGGTGCATCACGAGCGCCACCAGGGCGAAGGTGGTGAAGACGAAGAGGGTGAGGATCTGGCCCTCCGTGACGAGGTACCTGCAAGAGGAAGGGAGCCCAGGTGGCTGCGTAGGCTTCTCCGGGTTCCCCCTCCTTCTCGGGGGGGGGGAAAGGTGTAGCTGCCCTCCAGAGGGGCAGGGGCGGGCAGGCCAGATGCTGAAGGCACAGCCTAATTTCTGACTCTTGTCCCCCCTCACCTCCTCACATACACAACAGTCCTCAACCTGCAACCACAACTGAGCCCCAAATTTCTATCACTGAGACCTTTGCTAAGGGGATTTTGCCCCATTTTTCGATCTGTCTTGCCACGGTTGTTAAGTGAATCACTGCAGTTAAGTTAGTGACACAACTGTTAAGTGACTCCAGTTCCCCGTTGACTTTGCTTGTCAGACAGTTGCGAAACGGGATCCCGTGACCCTGGGACGCTACGACCGCCATAAGTATGAACCCGTTGCCAAGAGCCGCAATTTTGATCAAGTGACCCCGGGGATACCGCAAGGGCTGTAAACATGAACAACGGTCCTAAGTCACTTTTTTCAGTGCCGCTGTCACTTTGAATGGTCAGTAAACAAACTGTTGTAAGTTGAGGACTACCCTAAAACTGTTTTCAGCAAGCTGTGAAAGAGACGCAGGGGAAATATTCTTGGAAGGCTGGCAAAACCTGGCAACAAAGAGCAGCAGCAGCAGCTACCATGGGACAGACAGCCCCCTTTTCGGGAAATGCAGGGCCTTGAAAAGAGGCCAGGATTCAACCCGGTTAGAACAAAGGCCGGTGGCTGAGGGAACGCAAAGAGAAGAAAGTCACGAAGACCCCTGGGAGACCCCACAGATACTACTGCACTAAAAGGGGACAGAGAGCAGGCACCCCCCCCGCCCCTCTTTTTCTCCAGGATGAATTTCAAAGTTTGAAACGGGAAAGAAACGGAACCAGAGTTTGAAACTGTCTCCATGGATCAGTTCGGCACAGCTCCCTTTCCCCACCCCCCCTCGATAAAGGACCCCTGGCTAGAATCGATAGATCCTTCTCCTCCTAGCAGTTTAACAGGCAAGAGTCCGGGCCATAAAATATTGAAGTATTTTGCAAATTCTGTCTTGGAAAGTCTGTTCAAATGTTCAGCCTAGATTTGAAATATATTTGAACAACACAACACAACATTATTTCCAATCTTTATAAAGGAAAAAAAGTGGAAACTACAGAACCATTAATTTGAAATCCATTTCTGGGAACGAGATTACTAGAAGCCAGCATGGGTTCACTAAAAATTGGTTCTGCCCACTAATTTTAATTTTTTTTATTTTTAGCAAAGTGACTAGATTGTAGACTGCAGAAATGCTGTGGATGTAGCCTATTCAGACTGTGGAAGAAGTCAATACATTGGATCTGTGTGATACAGCAAAATTAAGGCCCTGTACTGCCAATAGAGGAGATATCTCTAATAGCGTTAATTAATGACTCTGTTCTGTGCAAATCTTGTAAACCTGTGTTCCATTTCTTGAGTCTCTCATGGGAAGGGAGTTTCTTCCCCACCAGAGCAGCTGCTTTAGAGTTAGAAAAGAGTCAGCAGGTCATGTTGGCCGTCCATACTGTGGACATTTGCTTGGAAAAAAGGAATCCCAGGAGCCAAGCCCTTTCGTGGCGTTTTCCTCTCGCAGGGGATCAATAAAATAACTATTGAGACTTAAAAGATTAGTCCTGGTGCTAAACCGTACAATGAACGGTTGCAGAACTTGGGTGTCTGTAGTCTAACAAAGAGAAGTACTAGGGGTGACATACGGCATCTGCCAATATTTGAGGGGCCGTCACTGAGAAGAAGTTGGCCTATTCTCCAGAGCGCCTGAGGGCAGGATAAGAAATAACAGATGGAAGATTATCAAGAGAGATCCAATCTAGAACTAAGGAGAAATTTCCTGACAGTGAGAACAATTATCCAATGGAACGACTTGCTTCAGAAGTTGTGGGTGCTCCATCACTGGAGGTTTTTAAGAAAAGACTGGACAGCTATCTGTCTAGAATGGCAGAGGGTTTCCTGCTTGAGCAGGCAGTTAGACTAGAAGACCTCCAAGGTCCCTTCCAACCCTGTTGTTTTATGTTCCACTTGGGACAGTCCAAACACCAGCTGTCTGACCCCTGAGATGCCGACTGTCTCACAAGCAGATACACCTGGCTTGGTATTGTTGCCTCCTTGTGTCACCTTGGCTCACTTACCAGTAGTAGAGGCTGCTGGGCCCAATGAGGAGTAAAGCAGCCACAGGGATTCTTGGCTGTTGTTCTTTACAGGGTATGAAACAGCCAGAAAAATATATGCACAGGATGAGAAAGAAGGGTATGTACCTGTGAAAAGAACAACATTGCAAGAGGTTGTGAGGGACAAGGTGGAAAGGGGCTTCCTGCTGTTTTAACAGTTCATTTCAGTTCTTCTGGCTTGGAGAGTGGACAAAGTACGGTAGCTGCTTAATGGCCTGAAGAGACATTTGAGAGAGCCTGGAAGCCCTCACCTTCCTTGGACTAATAAAAATGCTACTTGATTTCTCAGGGTCTATGTCCTTGAGCATCTAGTGTTCTTACAAGTGTAACCAAGCTGTGAGAGAGCCCCATCTTTCCCCCCCCCTCGCCATATTCACCCCAGAAATTCCCAGCCACTTTGACTGGACATTTAAGCCAGAACAGGAATCCTGCCAGCCTACAGTAACCATAGACCTGTTCTCAATTGTAAGAAGAGAGCCCCATTCGTCTTTGGTGGCAAAAAATAACCTGGAGGAGTGGAGGAGCGCCTTTTCTGACCAACCCCGTTTATATCCCAAGACATATGACTTGAACCAAATGTGCTGGTCAGAAAAGGCGCTAACACAATATTTCTCAACCTTATCAACTTGCAGATATGTGGATTTCAATCCCCAGAATCCCCCAGCCAGCAGAGCAGAGCTGGCTGGGGAATGCTGGAAGTTGAAATCCACACATTGTCAGATCTGCCACGTCAGCTTAATGCTTTGCTGCAAACCTACCACAAATTGTTAGGGGAAGGGGGGGGGCAAAGAGGAAATAAGCAATTAGCAAGCAATTAGCGTGTAGAAGGTAGAGATGAGCGGGGTGGTGGTGAGAACAGGCCGATTCCAGACTTCAAGGCCTGGAATCCTGGGAAAGGAATGTGAATTGCACCAAGTGGCACCAGACATCCGAGGGGTTTCCAAAAGGAAGACAGACAGGTCAAGGGGGAAGGGCCGGGGAGAAGGGGGGAAATGCTGTAACGTTTCACGCGGGAACCTTAGTTCTAGCCTTGCTTTGTTTGCAACCACCAATCCTTAGAACCTGTCACTTCAATCAAACTGAGTCCAGGGTCTTTCTTTCCTAGGGATGTAGCCTGACACACATCAGGTTGAGAAACATTGCAGTAACAGATTCCTCCTGATCCGTAGCTACTTTCTCAGTGCTTAATCTCTATGACATTTTTGGTGGCTGACTAGTGTCCCACAGGCAGGAAAAAGATCCTGTGGCTTTAAGGCAGTGGCCCATTAAAATGAATAGGATTCTTAAAGCTGCAGCAGCACCTTTTCCTCGGGGTCCTGTGGAGGGCTGGAAAAGGAGGGCCGCTTTAGTGAACCACAGAGAGCTGGGCTGTGCATGTAAACGGAAACTGCTTGCTCCCAATCCCCCCCCCCCAGCAAATGCCGGCAGCTCTCGTGATGCCCAGACAGTCTCTCACACTGTCTCAGCCCACAGGACCAGACCAGGCCACGTTTCTCCGGCAGCAACAGGGAAAGGGAGCCGGTTCGAAACGCAGCCACTGACTCACCACATTGAATGGCCCAGATGCTCATCGTAATAGTACAGCAGTTCAAAGGAATCGATCTGGAAAGGAAGGAAATGGAAGAGTCCAAACACTGAAGGGGTCCAGCTGACAGGCACTTGGGCCAGGCAGCAAAGAGCTCTGCTAGCAGGGGGGTTTGGGACAGGCAGTCCTCGGCTTATGACCAAGCAGAGCCCAGTTGTAATTTATTGAGGTTGTAAGTCAAGGCATCAGGTGACCAAACTCGATTTTATGATCATTTTATGATGGTCATAAAGCAAGTTCCCTGCCATTGTCAAACAAATCAGGTGGTAGTAGCTAAATCCAGCATAGCCAATGGATATTTTTGGCCGTTTTCTCCGGCAAAACAGCAAAAAAAGTAGCAAATTGTAGTCATACGAACATGGGATGCTACAATTCATAGGTACCTTTTTTTTAAAATTCTGTTATAACTTCCAAGAGTTGTTAAGTGACCAGTCATAAGTTGAGAACTACTTGCAGTTAAGTGTTTATTGGGTCCCATTGGGATTGTTCTTAATCCCATAAATTACCCAGAGCTCTCGCTTGGGTGAGATGGGTGCCGCATTAAATCACTTGATAAAATAGATAGAGCAATCGATAGATCGTTAGATAGATAGATCGATATAGATCACTAGAGATAGACAGACAGACAGACAAGCAGTGTCAGGAGTCAGAAGCAGAGTGAACCAGCCTCTCTCACCAGGGTCTCCGGCTTGAGATTTTTGATGATTGGATTCTCTCGGACGGACAGGTGGAGCTGGTAGCCGCTGAATATCAGTCGGTGATTGACAGAGTCACCCACCAGGTGGATGCTGGCCCCCATGACGAATACGATGATGCAGAGATACACCATGGATCGGGGAAGAGCCTTGGGGGAGCGCTCCATCAGCTGCACACAAAGCAACTTGTCTGAGGCTGGGGAGCAAAGTCGGACCCCTTCAACCCCTCCCAAACTCCATCAAGCAAAAGCTGGAAATCTTCTCCCCTTTCCTAAGAGGAACCCAACTCTCACAAAAAAAAGTCAAAAACTGTTCCTGAAATAAAGTCTCTGCAGAAGCATCCGTGCCTGACCTAAATCCCCTCCTTGGAGATAGCAGCATCTCCCCCCACCCCCACTGCAGAATGGAGAAGGTTCTCTGTGGCCCCCTTTCTTCTTCAACTTTTGCAACACGTGTATGCCAAGTTTGTGTACCCTGAATTTGAACATGTAAAGTAAACCTTATCTATTGCTGTGAATTCCCCTATGGACTTGGGCAGGGGACAGTTTATGCCATAAATCAATCAAGGATCCGAAGCTGCTTAACCCTTTCCTTTCCTGACCATCTGAAATCTAGAATTGGAAAGATCTTGCCCCTCCTGCAGCCTTGCCTGACTGGGTCTCCTTGGAAGATCAACCGGCTGCGTCAACCAGCCTCAGTCACTGGGATGATGGGCTTGCAGTCTAAGCTACTTGTAGGCGTGTGCATGGTCTGCAAGGAGGCACCTCCAAAGGTTCTGCTTACGGAGCACTCTTCACCCTGACTCCAGCTCAGGGAGATGGCAATCTGAGGGAAACATCTATCATCAATCACGACCTTCAGATATTTTAATCTTGCCCGGTTTTTTTAAAAGCTTGTGGCAAAACTCACTGTTGCTGACCAAGAGTAAATGAACCCTGTAGCGAAGCACAACTATCTTGCAAACTGGAGCTGCATTTACTAGGACATCACAATGTATGATTTCCAGGCAAGAAATTATACTGTCCAATTCACATGTGGGCCTGACAGCTCGCAACTCCCACAAGTTGGCTTCTTCTCTCTCTCCCCCCCAGCACCAGAATTTAAGAGTCTGGAAAAAAAGTTGATGGATGATGCATTTATCTAGATCAAGGATCCTCAACCTTGACAATTTAAAGATGTGTGGACTTCAAATCCCAGAGTTCGCCAGACAGCATGGCTGGCTAGGGAATTCTGGGAATTAATATCCACACATCTTAAAGTTCCCAAGGTTGAGTAACACTGATCTAGATGGTTTTGTGCAAGAAGAAACCAAAGAACCCAACAAATATTTTACCTTCAGGAGAATAAAGGGTGTGATGACATTATAGGCCATGTGAAAATAATCGCCGACGCTCGGCCTATTCAGGGGAAACCATTCAAGTGGAAGCACAATCTGCAGAGGGAGACACACACAAAAAAGCAAGAAGCAAGACAGGGGAGACTGTGACATCCCTTAATTATTGGTGGGCTTCCTGTTGCAGATTTTTGTCAAGCTTGGCTATAAAGGCCATCTTTGCTTGCTGTTTTTTGTGGGGATGTTTGCATGGGTGAGACAGAGAGGGGGCAGGGAGGGAATGTCAAAAGCCAAGAAAAATTAATCTCAGAGTAATGTGAACACCCCAATCCCAAATCTTCTTTGCAAAATGCATACAGGATAGGGAGGAGGATTTGCAAGGGACAATCAGCAGACACTGAAAAAATAAAGCATCACCATCCTTATTCTCGTATCAACCAAGAGACGTGTTTACATATTTGTAGAACAATATAACACACAGTTCTGACCTTACACTCAATGCATATTTATGCTCATGTGAACAAGGATGCCAGAGGAGGATAAAGAGATCAGACTGAAAGCGAATAATTCTTGGTTTACTTCCAGGGTTTCTTGGAAATAAAGATGATTCTGGAAGCTTTGTAGCATGTTATCGTCCCTTTTAATTTTCTTTCAAATTAAAACAATTTTTAAACATTTTAAAATGAGAACGGAGCAACCGGCCCAGCTGCACATTCAAGAGGAACAGCCTTTTCCCTCTGCCAAACTGAGGGGCCCACCAACCATCCTGGACTCGGCAGAAAACCTTCCCAGCATGAACCCGGCTTGCCACCCAGCCAGCCTCTCTGCTGCCTCTGTCCTGCCTGCAGCCCCTTGTTTCCCCTCCAGATTTGACGCACTTTGGAGAATGGCGAAGAAGCGGGAAACACTATTTCAGTAGCAAGAGTAAAAGTCAACCATCAGTGAGCAAGAGATGAAAGGGGGGCCGTGTAGGCGGTCAGGAGTGTTGGCAGGCAGAGGCTCCCTCCCAGAGCAGTCCAAGAGTCCTGCAAGCCGAATTCAAGGATCCCACCGAACCCTGAGAGCAGAGAGCCCGCAGGGCTGCCCAAACCCGAATGCTAAAGCCAGAACAGATAGTCCTTGACTCACGACCACTATTGTGCCCAAAATGCATGTTGCTAAGCGAGACATTTGTTAAGTGGGTCTTGCCCCATTTTACGACCTGTCTTGCCACAGTTGTTAAGCGAATCACTGCAGTTGTTAAATTAGTAACACGCTTGCTAAGTGAACCTGGCTTCCCCATCGACTTTGCTTGTCAGGTCGCAAAAGCTGATCACATGACCTCTGGACACGGCAACCGTCATAAATATGAAGCAGCTGCCAAGCATCTGAATTTTGATCATATGACGGTCAAAAGTCATGTCACTTTTTTCAGTGCCATTGTAGCCTTGAACGGTCACTAAACGAACTGTTGTAAATCGAGGACTATCTGTATTGGGAAAGAATCTTCATTTTTCTCTCCCAGTGCATCTTCGCCCTCAACTCCTCTACCTCATCTGAACCCTTAACATCAATCAGTCGGTGAGAAACCTCATCCCGGGGGTACTCACCATGGCGATGGGCCGACCAAAGTCCAGGACCCAGTTTTGCAGAGTGAAATAAAACCACAAGTCAAAATGAAAGCAGGAATTCCTGCAAACATCATCCTTGAGGACTGCTCCATGCCTGTGAGCGAAAGCAGGAAGGCAATGGATGCAATGTCAGAAAGTTAGGTCAACACACAAACACCGACACACACTGAGGAACGGTATCTTTCTACCACCATCCCTGTGGAAGGCAGCATGGCAGCAGTCTCCACACCTGTTTGAGCAATAATTAGTTGTTCTCTGGGAACTGGCTTGGTGCATCCGAGATCTGAGAATACAGGTCACCAACCTTTGGCCACCACAGACTCACCTGTCCTCAGCAGTTTCGGCAGGATTTTAAAAAAAAGTCAAACAGCAATCATGGGGGTGTGAACAAAGTTCCACCTGTTTTTATGTGCATCATGTCAAACTGGCCCCATCTTGATTTTATTTTAACCATACTCTGTGACACCCCTGCCTGACTCCAGGATGCCACGAGGATCTTGGAGGGGGCATCAATTAAGTCAAGACCCACCTTTGCCTCAACAAGTGGCTGCAGGTCATGTATATTTTAATCCTGCCTGGATGTCTGATTTTTCAAAGGACACGGGTTGCTTCCTTCCCCCAATTAGCCCACTATCTTGTCTTTAAATCCAAAATGTCTAACAGAAGATGGTAAAAAAAAAAAAAGGAGTCTGGCTGTGCCTTTTCAGACTGTCAGGTCTGCCATTCGCTTCGCTGGCATCCTGCATGCCAGAAAACCCCTGGAAGGGGGGGGGAGAATGGGACTATAGGGGTGGTGCCAGAACCAGAGGTGCCAATCTGGAACAGACTGGCGGATCCAAGGACAGGAACGTGAGAAAGGAACACGAAACTCCGCCCAAAATCTTAGAGCTGTTACCAAAACACCAAATTCAAATACTATAGGACACTTGTGGACCGGTCAAGGGGGGAGGAAAAAAGGCAGGCTTTGCGTGGGAATATTCAGATCCGGCTTCACTTCAGCCTCAAAGAAGGGCTCGAGAGAGCAGAGTCAGTGGTCGTGGGAAGCCACTTCAGAGTTTCTCAATGAGACTTCAACTTCCAGAATTCCCAGCCAGCAGATTCTGGGAGTTGCAGTCCGCGCACCTAAAAGTTTCTGAGCTTGGGAAAATCGAGCTACAAAGCCGGATTCCCGCGCCCCACGCAGCCCGGGCTTGCCCGGGATGATTCCTCCGCAAAGCCCGCGGACAAGCTGGCTGGTGGAGGCTGCCAGCGAGAGCTCCCGTCTCCCGAGGGAGGGCAGCGCAACGGCCGAAGCTCTGCCGGGCAGCTCCAGGCTCTGCTTAACGGAGGCGGCGGGTCCTCCCTCGGGGGCTCCGGTTGGCGGCGAGCCCGCTTTCAGGCTGCCGTGCCCGCCGGCATTCGGGCCGGAGTAGCCCGCCCTAAGCCCGCGGCGGCCAAGCAGGAGCGAAGGGCCGCCGCGCTTCTCCCGGGAAGGGGCGCCCGCCTGCCCGCCGCCCCTCCGGCCCCGCCAGCCCCTCGGCCGCGCGCAGGGGGCGGCGGGCTCCTCCTCGGCGGCAGACGGCAGGGGAGGACTCTGCGGGCCCCGGAGCCGAGAGCCGCGGGGCTCCGGCCGGCAGCGGCAGGAAGAGGGTCCCGGGGGGACGGAGCACCTGCGGGTGGCCGGGTGGCGCCTCCTCAGGGACGCCGGGAGTCGCGGGGCGGCGGCGGCGGCGGGGGGCTCCCTTCCTGCGGGGCTGCGGTCGCCGTTCATCGCCGCCATGCGGGCGAGAGACGCTCCGGGACGGGCTTTGGCGGCCCCGGCCCGGCGGAAGATCTGCTGCCCCCTCTGGCCGCCCGGCCTCGGCGCAGCTACGGGGCGAAGTGCCGGCTGCTCCCCGCTTCGCTCGCCCGCCCCACGGCCGGCCAGCCAGCCAGCCAGCCAGCGTACTCGGCGGCGGCGGCTGAGACTCGGCCTCGCTCCGGATATACGTTTTGTGGGCCGACCAGCTCGGAGAAGGAACCGTCGCCCTCGAAGGCGCCCGGCTCTGAGTTGCCACGTTAGCCATGGACACTTCCACATGCTTTGGAAGGTTTAAGTGCCCGCTTAATCTCTTGTACACCTCAAAAAGTAATACAATCACACCGCAGCCCAATCTACTGGAGGGTGTGTGTGGAGAAGGAAGAGAAAAAAAGGAATTTCTGAAGGCTGCCTCCCCATTGCATGACACCCCCCCCCCCCAAACACACATACAAAGCATAGAGATGGGAGAGAAAGGGATTGCAGGAGAGGCAGCTGTTTGTTCTACACATGAAAAGGAATACAATTGGACTGATAGGCTGGAGTTGGGAATTGTACTACACAATTTGCAGTATTCTCTTGAAAGTTGTCCATTCTGTGTGTGAGAGGGGAAGCAAGCAATTTTTGTAGGAAATCTCTCTTTTGCCTGACCCTTTCCTGCTGCTGGCAAGATCACACTATCACACTGCTTTCAGAAGAGCAAACAGCTTACTCTCTTCAGATCTTTCTCCAATCTCTCTGCTTTGTAAGGACAGGAGGAAAAGAAAGCAACCAATTTTTGTAGGCAATCTCTCCTTTGACTGTGTTTCTCTTGAATTCAGTTAGGCATAAAAGAGTTTTTTGGTGAGAAAGCCAATAGTGGAAAACTTTCACCTTCCATACATTCATGTGTCATTAATAGCACAAGACAATAAAGTAAGATTGGTACCATCATCAAAATCCTGATCCAGTGATCCAAGAGTTTTCAGTCGGTTTTCTACACATCTCTTACTTTTATGATAGTTTGCAGCAGCAATTTGTGGTCCACCCTCCCTTCTGATTCAAACTTTGTTCCTAAGTGATGCAAACATGATGGACCAAACAGGAGCAAGAGAATGATCTGACAGTATTCTTGCTACCTCCACATTCAAAGTATTCTGCTGCTGCCAGTAATGAAATCTGGAACAACGTGGGTGATACTGGCTTATGCATATGGCAGATTAAGAAGGGTAGAGGTTTTAATTGTACATCTTGTGCTTGTTTTTGGAATGCGTACTTACTTAAACATAAGCCAATATTTATAAATGAGTACACTGAAAATTGCACAAATCAAAATACACAGCAACAATGTGCTCACTCTTGACCTAAATTTACTCACTCCTGAACTGAAGCAATCCAATTTACAACCATATTTATGTAGAGAGAAACTGTAACCTCAATTGATCAAAAACAAGGGTAAAAAAACCCCTCTCCCTCCTGCTTTTGTGGCATTTCTGCCTGTCAACCTGAACATTTGAGGAGCTTCTTTGATGCATGTGCATTGCTCGTGAATTACCATATTCAGATCATCTATCCTGGGAGATTAAGAGTAAAGATACTATCAAGAATCAGGAGGGATATGGAAAGAACAAGTGGAAATATGATTATTCGCAGCAGAGAATCACCAGTCTTTTTGCCCCTGCCTCTGGTGCAAGCTGCGGAAAGAGTCTTTTGGTTGAATCAGGTCCATGCATAATACATGAAATTGGTCTTGTATTATTTCTACAGGTGGCAACATCTCCAGTTGCATGACTCTGAATTAACTATTCATTTTGTTACTGAAACCAATATAGAACAGGCCTCCGGTCCAATTAGCAAGATTACATTACTGAGGCATCTGGTACTACCAACGACTAAGCAGGACAAAGGCTGTGTTCCCTGAAGGTCTCTGGAGCAAGTCACAGGCGGATTGCAAAAGGTCCAGCGGGTATTGTGCCAGCCACATTTCCCGCCCGCTGCGGGGCTGGTGGCCTGGAGGAAGAGCCTTGTCATTCCCCAAAAAGTTGGGGAACCCATCAAGAGCCTGAAAAAGAGATTTTGATGGCTGAGCTCGCACCGCGCGCCAAGTTTAAATCAACCAACACTCATCGGGTCCCATAGTAGTTTGCAATCGCAGAATTGTGGTTTAACACAAGTAAGTCACGGCTTAGCGCGTGCCGGGCTCCATCCACGTCGCCACCTGCCGCTCCCCCCACCAGGAAACAGGCAGGAACGGAGACACCTTCGCGCCCGCTCAGCAGCCGGGCTCCGGAACTCACTTCGTCTGAACAGCGATTTCCGGGACGGATTGGTTTTGCAGAGGACGGCATAGCTACATCCGGTTTCGGTTCCATGCTAATAACAACTGACGCTGATTGGACGCCCGGAAGGGCGCTTCCGACGTTCCGTAACCCCCCAGCCCCGCCCCTCCGCAGCGAGAGCGCCGCGCCCCTTCCGGGCACCCGTAGTAGCAAGGAAGCGTTCCGTCCTGCTTCCGGGGTGCTCCGGAAAGGCCTCTGCGGCTCGGCCCTTCGCTGCTCCTCCTGGTGCCGCCGCCGCCGCCTCCTCCTCCTCCAGGATCGCGGCCGGGGGAGAGGACGGGCGCTCCGGCCTTCCCAACGGACCCTGCGCCCCGAGGGTCCCTTCCCAGGAGGAGCGCTGCCCGGAGGACGAGGACGCGGCCGGCCATGGGGCCCGTCTGACCGGCCGCGCATGGTGGGCGACGGGAGCGGCGGGACGACGAGGAGCGTCGGCGCCCCCCCGGGCCCCAAGGGGGCCGGCCCGCATGCCCGTGCCCGCTGCGGAGCCACGGAGGGGGGGGAGCGGGAGGAGCCCCGGCCGGCGCCGGCCCCTCCGGGGGAGGCCGGCGGGGCGCGGTGGCGGTCCCCGCAGGAGCAGGCGGCCATGGAGAGCCTGGCCGGCTACGTCTACAAGGCCGCCAGCGAGGGCCGGGTGCTGACCCTGGCCGCCCTGCTGCTCAACCGCTCCGAGGGCGACGTCCGCTACCTGCTCGGCCATGTCACGCACCAGGGCGGGCAGCGATCCACGCCGCTCATCATCGCCGCGCGCAACGGGCACGCCAAGGTGGTGCGCCTGCTGCTGGAGCACTACCGGGTGCAGACGCAGCAGACCGGCACCGTCCGCTTCGACGGGTAGGTGCGCCCTCTCGGCTCCCGGGGGTGGGGTGGGGGGCGCCGCCCGGTCCATTGCAGCGCCCTTCGAG